AAATTCAAATCCCGGGCTTCATTAGCAAGTTCGGTATGCATACATTACCCCCCTAGTTCGAACTAGGGGGGTAGTGTAGACATACCCTAACATCCCTAGTTGGGTAGTCGACTACTCCCTAACATCCCTAGTTCAGGGCTTCTCATAGGTCAGATTTACTTTTCTGGGATTGCAGAGTTAGTGAATTTTATGGACCCCCTTAGGTTCTGGTGCAGGGAGAAAAAGAGGAGTTCAGTGTGCAGGGCAGGGCTGCAGGATCTGGCTGGGAGGTTGGGTGCAGCTGCAGGCTGGGGGTAGGATCTCTGGCCAGAAGGGAGAGTGCAGGAGGGGGTTTGAGGTATGATGTCTAGCCAGGAGGGAAGGAGGGAGGGAGGGAGGGAGCAGGAGCAAGGGAGGGTACAGAATCTGGTCAGCGGGGAGGTGCAGCAGAAGTAAGGGAGAGTGTCAGAGCAAGCTGAAGGCGCAGGGTCTTGGCAGGGGGAGAGAAGCGAGTGAGGGGGATTTGGGTGCGGGGTCTGAGCATGAGGGGAGATGCTTACTTGGCTTTGCACCTCCTTGCAGCAGGCTGTCATTCCCCCAGCAGGTGGGAAGGGGGAGGGATCTCAGTCCCCTCCTCCATACAGAAGGGATCCCAGGGCAGCTATGAGGCTGCAGCACTAGTAAGATCGGGCTTCCTGCTGTGAGGGTGTGGGAGCTGCAAAAAGAGACCCTGCCCCTCCCAACCCAGACCAGGCTCGCTGTCATTCCCCCAGTAGGGTGTGGGGGGGAGTGGCAGGGGGAGAGAGAGCGGCAGTGCAAGGGGGGCACCAAGCCCAATCTGAGGGGGTGGCAGTTCCCCACCCAGGTTCCGTGGCCCTGCTGGGGCTCAGGCAACAGTTCAAAAGCACCAAGGTCCAGGAGCGGCTACTCGATGCCTTTTGCCTCAGACCCAGCCACCTCTCCCTCCTAGCAGCAGCGGCCACTGTAACAAGAACAAGCTGCCACCTGCACATGTGGAGGAGGAGGCTGCGTGGCTGGACCACGGTCCCTGTGCAACAGAGGGGCTATGTCTACACTGGCGGGTTCTTGCGAAAGAATGGCTGTTCTTGCGCAAGAACCCACAGAGCATCAGAACGGCCGTTCTTCCACAGAGCGTCCACACTGCCCGCCCGCTCTTGCACAAGATTTACAGTACGGCGTCGGAAGAGAGGGCTTCTTGCGCAAGAGCTACGCTCTTTTCTAACAGGAGTAAGTCCTCTTGCGCAAGACGGCAATGTGGACGCACAGCAGGGGTTTCTTGCGCAAGAAAGCCCTATTACTAAAACGGCCATCAGAGCTTTCTTGTGCAAGACGGCGTCCACACTGCCATGGATGCTCTTGCACAAAAGCATATGGCAGTGTGGACGTGTTCTTGCACAGGAAACCTTGCGCAAGATGTTCTTGCGCAAGAACCCGCCAGTGTAGACATAGCCAGGCAGTTCTGTGGGGGAAGGAGGAGGCTGCGTGGTGCGCAGTGGTGGGGCTGTGGGTGGTGGAGTGGCCAGAAACCATGCGCCACCAAAAGTCTGCTCTAGCCGAAAAAGCTCCAATAAAGCCGCTTACACACTCTCCAGGAGGTGGGGGAAGGAGGACGCTGTTCTGTTAGGCTGAGTCATGCAAGGAACAATGGCAATGCACAGACCCAGTCACTTCTTCCTGAAAGTTGGTGTCCCCATCAAGTAGTGAAATGTCCGGTGGGGCTTTCTGGGACATTTCAGTACTTGATGAGGACACCGGCACATAGTACTTAAGATTGGGACAGTCCTGGAAAATTCGGGATATTTGGTCAGCATACCATTATGCAGTCACATCCCTAGTTCAGAGCAGTGGTTTTCAGCTCACTACGTGCAGCCCATTCAGCACACAGCTGCAGTTCATGATATCCACATAGTCAGACACAGGGCTCGCCAAGCCATGGCAAGCCCCACTTGCCAGCCGCACTGTCCGGTGATATGCGCATGCGCAGATCGCCCAAACCAGGCTCTTCCGGGTTGTAATCTACTCGCCACGGGCGAGTAGATTACATAGATTGTTGAGCCCTGGTCATACAACCAATATGCCTTGGCTTATTGGTTAATCTTGTCAACTATATGCATTCCCCCTCTCACCCGCTGCCTCTGTATCAAAGATAGTAGAGGGTAGAGTGGTACCTGTGAGGAGCTGGCTTAAAGCTGGCTCCCCACGAGCACTGGATCCACCTGGCCCTCAACCCTTGTGCTGCTGCCTCTGCTAGAGGCAGCAGCATGCAGGGTGAGGGGGGTAGGCTGGAGCCAATATGTGTGGGGAACTGGCTTTCAAGCCAGCTTCCCATGTGCATCGGCTCCAGCAGGCCCCCCTCCCCCTTGCTGTCTCCTACAGAAGCAGTGTGGGGAAGGGGGCAGGAAGGAGCTGGTGCTGGGGCAGCCAGCTTACAAGCTGGTTCCCCCCAGCACCAACTCTTCATTGCTGCCTGTCCTCCCAAGTTGACATAGCATGTTTCTATCCGCGGGGAGCTCGGGCCCCTGACAGACAGGGCTGCTGCTGCCACCCCACACTGCTGCCTCTGTATTAGAGGCAGCAGCACAGCATGGCAGGCAGTTGGTCTGCATGGAGATCTGGTTTTTAACTCGGCTCCCTTGCCAAACAGGAGCCAGTTTGCACTCTGCACTACTGCCTCTGATACAGAGGCAGCAGCGTGGAGTGGCAGGGGGCTCCCTGATAGTGGGCCAGGAGTGCACTGGCTGCCAGCCCCACATCCAAGGACTATTGAATAGTCATTTAACCTCATGCAGTTAGACAACTATTCAATTACACAATAACTAACAGCCCTAATGTAGGTAGTTTATATATAGTTTGGATGTGACCCACATAACGCAGACAGCTGCATGAGCAATCCACAATGGTAAAGAGATTGAGAACCTCTGGTTTGGAGCAAATTTTACCCCTTCATTATTCACCCCTCATTCCAGATCATCAGCATAGCTTGTAAGAACATAAGAACAGGCACACTGGGTCAGACCAAAGGACTATATAGCCCAGTATCCTGTCTTCTGACATCACTCAATGTCAGGTGCCCCAGAGGGAATGAATAGAATTGGCAAATCATCAAGTGTTCCACCCTGACACCCATTCCCAGCTTTTGAGAGACTAGGGACACCATCTCTAACCATGTTGGCTAACAGCCATTGACGGACCTACCCTCCACACATTTGGCTATCTCTTTTTTGAACCCTGTTAAAGTCCCGGCCTTCACAACATCCTCTGGCAAGGAGTTCCACAGGTTGACTGTGTGTTGTGTGAAGAATTTAAACCTACTAATTTCATTTGGTGACTCCTAATTCTTGTGGTATGGGAAGCAGGAAACTTTCCTTTCCCTAGTTACTTTCTCCACACCAGTCCTGATTTTAATTGACCTCTATGGTATCCCCCTTCTCATTGCCCTAAGGCAAGCGCCAGCAGGATTCCTGAAAGCATCCCCTTGTTAATCTATGTCCTCCCTGAGAAGTGACCATTCATGGTTCCTCTGTGGGCCCGATTCTCTCGAAAGCGGGAGTCATGCCCGGGACTAGTCCCTGAGGCGGCAGACGCGCCCCGCAGAGGCGGGGAGAGCAGCGCCCGGTCTCTCGGCGTTAGAGTTGCGCCCCCAGGTGAGGAACTGGGGCTGTGTCCGCCCCGCACCTGCTCCTAGCGGGCCCGGGCCGGGCCTTCTGCTCGCAGCGAGCCTGGGGCGGGTTCCCGCTGCCCCGGCTCCCGCCCGCACTGCCAGGCACCTGGCGGTATCCGCTGGGCGGCTCCAGCCCGCGCCCGGGAATAGGGCCCGCCTAGCGCGTCAGGGGCAGCCAGGGCCCAAGGGCGAGTGGGAGTAACGTGGCCACGGTTGCTAGGCAACCTCTCCCCCCCCCCCCGCAAGGGGCCTCTCAGCACCGGGGCTCGGACCTGACCCACCCCCAGTGAGCTCGAGCCCGCCTTGGGCCGGGGCTCAAAGGTGGCCGAGGTCTTCCAGGGCAGGCGAGTTCGCAGGGCAGAGCGGCGGTTGCGTGGGCCGCTCTAGCCCGGCGCGTGCGGGGGGCTCTGTGGCAGCCGCTTCCGGTGGGCGCTGCTCGGTGGTGGCGGGATGGTGGGGGAAGAGGAGGAGGCCGAGTTCCCCGAGCGCTTCCGCGCCTACTCGGAGAACGAGCGGCACTGGCAGGCCCGCCGCGAGTTCATCCTGCGCAACCTGCCGGCGGGCGGAGCGCCGGAGCCCGCCAGCCGCATCGACCAGCTGCTCTCGCTCTCCATGGTGTGGGCCAACCACCTCTTCCTGGGCTGCAGGTGCGGGCCGCTAACCCTGCCCGGGCCTGGGGCAGGGGCCCCTCCGCCACCAAGAGCGTTGGAGGCCGGTTTCGTCCCCAGAGGCAGCTCCCTGAACCAGCACCATCCTTAGGATGTAGGGGGCCCTGCGCAGCACTGAGGGCCCTTTGCGGGGGGGGGGGAGTGTTTTTAGAGGTGTGGCTCTATAATTTTCAGCAGCACACTATTTTAAACTAAGGTCCTGTCGGCTAACGCAGTAAATTCAGAAACGGAGAGTGTGTTATCTCGGATTGGCAAATGCCCGTTAGCTGGCTCTTTCACAGACAGGTTCAATGTCTGCTAATAGGTCTGGCAGGCTTTTTCACTTTTAAGTTGACTAGATCCTCTGGGAGGAAGCAGAGCCACAGAACAGATAATAGGGTGAGACACTGGGTGGATTTTAAGACCCAGTGGTACCCCAAAATTTCAGGTTCCTTTTGCAATTGCATATAGGTAAAGATGGCCCTACCCTGAACCCACGCTGGGGCAGAAGGTTCTTGGGGAGAACTCTTATGCCCAGGGATGTTGCTCTTGCATCTCTCATTGGTTGCAGTTCCCTGCAAAACAGGCACTTGGGTGGGGGCTGGGGCAAACAGGGACCTGGCAGCTGCTTCTAGGAGCTTCATGGAATGAGGGCAGGTAGGATGCCATCTTAGCCCTAGGAGAAGGAGGACTTGAAGGGGAGGAATTAATCAGCAGAGCCTAAGGACCCCCAGTTTGAGAAATGCTGTTGTAGAACTAAAGCACCTTGTCATCAGTATGTGTGTACCTTGGGATAGCTTACATGCATTTATTACCACCAAGAAAAAAAAACAAAGCAGCTGTTCGTCCTAGCTGTGTTAAATTGAATTAATGCATCTCAGCTGAGCCTAGCTCCAGTCAGTATTGCAAAACAACACTTAGCAGCACAGAAGGACCAGATTAGCACACAGCTGAGTGAGCAGTGCATTATGAGCACCAGTGTCAGTAGCATCCAAGCTTCAATATGTATCCCCAAGTTGAAAGCACTCCTTAACTCAAGCTAGAGATGTGTGCGCTTGGACAGCAGCCTGGCTAATAGTAATGCTTGAGTTACAGCTCAAGCTAACACTGCAGGGAAAACTTTCTATCTGAAACCCACAATCAGGACTAGTACTACTGTGTGGGTGCATCTAGACTGGCAAGATTTTGCGCAAAAGTAGTCGCTGTTGCGCAAAAACTTGCCAGCTGTCTACATGGCTGCTTGAATTTGCGCAAGAGCACTGACTTTGTAATGTACAATATCAGTGCTTCTTGCGAAAATACTTTCATGCTCCCACTGGGGAAAAAGCCCTCTTGTGCAAGAGGGCCAGTGTAGACAAGGAAGAACTGTTTTGCGAAAAAAGCCCCGATGGCTAAAATGGCGATCGGGGCTTTCTTGCGCAAAATTGCGTCTAGACTGGCCACGGATGCTTTTGCGCAAAAGCACTTTTTGCACAAAAGCACCCGTGCCAATCTAGACGCTCTTTTGCGGAAATACTTTTAATGGAAAAACTTTTCTGTTAAAAGTATTCCACAAAATCATGCCAGTCTAGACGCAGCCGGTATGTATAGATGTGCAAAAGGTGGTTGTTATATAACTTTTGTTTCAATGCTGCTGCTGCTGCAGAACTAATCTGGAACACCTGTGCAAAAAAACTTTATGTATTTAAATTTTGATAGACCCACACTAATTGAGAGATGCATGTTTCATTCAGTTTTATAATGGAGCTGAATATACATCCTTGCCATACTGAGATATTTGAGGATTGGTTTATAATACAGTGCACTGTAGTCTCTTAATGTGGGATCAGTAATTTTTCACAGGCATTTATCTTTATTATACAGTTACAGCAAAGACCTTTTAGACAAGGTAACTGAAATGGCTGAGGGGATTGAAGTTGAAGATGCACCACAGTTTACTTCACGAGATGAAATAATGAAAAAGGTAACTATTCACTTCAGAATTTTAGAACTTGTTTTGTGAGGATGATGCTATCAGAATTTTTAGGTTTGTTCAATGTACAGAACCAATAGGTCTCAGGAACAAGGATTGAGCATACTTTTAAGTTCTGCTTTACTACTCTAAAATTCTTTCCTCTCATTCTTGTGCTACTTTGAACATTCTTCCTAACAACATCCCAGAAGTAGAAATATATTAACACAAATTGGTGGTGGAGCTACTAGCAAATTCGCAATATTTATTAGGTTTTAGTTACTAAGAAAATGTTGGTCAAATTTATTTCTACAATTTTTAAAAGCAATTTTATCCATTCTGCTGATTAGAAACCACTAATTTCATTTTTATGTATTTCACTGGAAGAATTGCACTGCAAGCTTTGCAAGTGCTATGTTCTCCAAAACATACAGCAATGAGAAGCTAATTCCCAGAGGTTTAAGGCCCCAATCCTGAAACATTAATGCATATGCTTAATTTTAAGCATGTAAATAGTTCTATTGATTTCAGAGACTACTTATGTGTTTTGAAGTTAAGTATATATGCTAGTGATGGCAAGATCAAGGCATAGTCTTATTTGGCTGGGGTGTGGTGAGCTAGAACACTGTGGACAGAGGCTGCTCCATGAGATGCTGGAGCAGCCTCTGTGCACGGGAAGCTCAGGCCCCCTGCTGACAGGCGCTGCTGCCTCTGTATCAGAGGCAGCAGCGTGAGTGGCAGGCAGGAACTGGTCTGCATGGGAGCTGGTTTTTAAACCAGCAGAGGCAGCAGCACAGAGTGGCAGGAGGCTCCCCAGAAGTGGAGCCAGGAGCGCACTGGCTGCTGGCCCTGCCTCCAAGGACCATTAAGTAACCATGTAACCCCTAAGAAATGTAGCAATTATTTAAAATAACCCGCTTTCTAACATCCCTAGTTGCTTGCAAAGTCACTTGAAATTTCAAGACAAGACTCTGTGCGCGCACACATTGATGTACTTTTGTTCTCATTTAATGAGGATTAAATAACTACCTCTTGAAAACTCTACACATTACACTGGAAAGAAATGAAGTTGTGTTAAGTCTGTATTCTGTTATATTAAGGAAATCTTCTAAAACTAATAGGTAAAGTCTACTGTGCATTCCTCATGATGTTTAAAAGTTGTTGAAAACAGGACGTAAATGGTCATTAAGTGCCAAAAAATATTGAGCAGGTTGGTTGTTTTACTTTCTTGATGACCATATTTTTATAATTGGAAAGTGCATAAAGTTCAAATCCCACAATTATTTTACTCAGCACCACAGCCAAATTTGAAAATTGCTCTATCGGGTTTGCTATTTTTAATTTAGAACAATGTAATCATTCAAGTTACTGTACTACTGGCTGATTTGGGAGTACGCTTTTATTTCAAATATTTTTATTTATTTCCTGCAGATGCAAAATATGTATTCTGCCTTGTGGATAAAAATAAATAGGTTCTAGCTAACGAAAAGAAAATCTGCAGTATTCTACAGTACTTTCTGGTGTAAAATATCAAAGTATTCATATCTTCTTCCTAGCTAATGGAGTAAAAATTCAAGTATCATTTGCTTGTATTACAATTAGCATTTTCATATTACAAACACATTACTTGTTTTCTTTTTCTTTTTAGCATCAGCATTAGAACATGAAAGAAGAGCTCTCAGGGTTTTGTCATGATACAAGATCAATTTATATGGAGGACCCACGGTTAATTTAACATAAGATTTCTAATATAAGGACTTTGTATGCTGGACCCTAGGGACAGGATTTTTTTCTAAGCTTGTTCCATTATGATTATGGATATCCACTTCCAAAACTTTTTTAAAAAATCAGATTTTTAAACAATTTTACAACTCAGTGATTGATAGTACAAAGAAAAATATATGATGAATGATATTGACCCCTTTCATGTGAAGATAGGAAAGAGTAATAATGCCTAGAAAAGGGGTGGAGAGGGAGCTGTAGCATTCCCTCCTCTGTTTGGTCATTAAAAAGATTACAGAATTGTAATCAATGAGTCCAATGTAGGATAAGAGATCCTGGGGAATACTTGCCTCAAAGCACACACCCAGTTAGGAAAGTGGGGGCTCACACTTCACTCTCCATTGAAAGTAAGAGGCTGTTATAATGCTGTTTTTACCTAGGACTCATTCTGTGTAACAGGGAAAAGGGAGGGCATGGTACACGAAGTGGCCATTACCCTGCTCTTCCCCTTCTCTTACATGCTCCTTATTGGTCTGTGGTGATGTCCGACAGAGCTGATTTCCCCCTTTGCATGCCTGTGCCTTTCTCTTTTGCAGGAGAACCCTAGAGTCTAAAAATAACACCGAATATTCTCTTAAGTCTTTATTCTTTAATATTTTATGCCATATTTTAAAAGCTTTTGGAACACCTAACACCTGGATTCATTCAGTCACTGGAAGAAGTGGGTCTTTGCCCACGAAAGCTTATGCTCCAATAAATGTTAGTCTATAAGGTGCCACAGGACTTCTTGTTGTTTATGCAGATTCAGACTAACATGGCTACCCCTCTGACATTGTCACTGGAATGAAAATTTCAGTCATGGAAATCTGGATAAATGTCTTGATTTTTATCAATAAAATAATGTTCCTTTCATGTAAAGTGAATTCCCTCTCTAGAAGATTTATATGTATCTACTGCTGTTCTGCCAGGGTCTGATCTAAAGACCATTGAAATTGAAGCCATGCAATGCTTTGCCATAGACTTTTTCATATGCATCTTGTAATTTCTGGCAAATGTTGAAATGCTGAAGATCTCATCTGAACAGAGGCTTTTAAATAGCATATGTGCCAGACAGGTAATCAGAAAGCACTGCCTCCACTGGTAAATTGTCTTTCTGAAAAGCCCCTTCCAATCACTGTTGAGTTATAGTAGCAAAGGCACCATGTAGGTGGACAGTCCTGGATGAGGGGAATGCATACCCTCCAGTTACCCCCTTTCATTTGTCTGGTGCTTGTCTCTCTTGTGTACAGTTCTATGAGATGCAATCCCATTTCAGGCACATCATATTTTCCTGGTAAAACCACATCCTTACCTTGCTTTAAGTTATAAAAGGAAGGTATATACCAAATTTGGTGGTCCAAGTTCTCACCATTTAGGTGTTCTTGAACAGACAAACTCTCACATATATAGTAGATTTAAACATCCTGCTCTTAAAGTTTTGTTTTAAACGAGCAAATAGTCATAGCTTTCACATTTCTAGAAGTAATGAAATTTATGCACCCCTTTTGTTATCAGCATCTTTGATTAACACATTTCTTGGACTGAAGTTATGCATTTTTGAGAGTGGCTGCTGCAGCCCTAGAAGAAGAAACTTTCATTGGCAGTTTGGTTTTTAAACATTAATAATGTAGCCCATGCCATCCATGTCTGAGAGGAAGGTCAAAAGTGGTAATAACACTCACTCTCATTCTTCCTACAAGAGAACAGGTTTTAAGTGTTATGGTAAAAAGATGTAGCCAACAGAGCAGGCTGACCATTGTTGTATAGTTGACACCCCCATCATTCTTTTCATCCTAAAGTATTTACAAACTGGGATTCTGATCCTGTCACCATTTAAGCACACAAGTATATTTACATGTTAGTACCAGTGAAGTCACACACTGCTGTCATGTATATGCACAAATAGCATGCTGCTGCTTTAATCTACTTTTGAAGGATTGAGGGTATACATCCACCTACCGTTTGAACCTATGGATGCACAGAATATGTTCTAAACTGATACCTAGACCAGTAAGCTATTCCTTTCTAGCTATCCTGCATGCCCAACTCTCAGAAGTAGAAGCTGTATGTACATCATAATTGCAGGATTGGGCCCTAAGTGTTTTTCAACAGTTTTACTTTGTATTTCCCAATTGCTTTGTAGGCTCTTTTGCTAAAGAGCAGCAGCAATCTTGCACACACAGCTTTTTGTAAATAAATACACGCTTTAATTTGCATAGTTATTTGCATTCACTTTCCTGTAGGTGGCTAGTGGTCTGCTTACCTTTGAGACACAGAACTACGTTGACAGTGTGTGTCCTGGATTTTGGGAGCCAAACCACTTTGCTTTCTAAAAAATACTCCTCCCTAGAGATGGCACAGGTTTCTTCCTAATTTATTCTCTTGCACCTGTTTTACCAGAAGGGAAACATACAACTGAGTATATTTATTAACTTTCCAGTAGGGGAGATCAGCATTAATGGTCATGTGACCACCTTTTTAGAAAAATCACGTTTTTTAATCTTTTCCCTTTTCTTGTGCTTCGGTAGCAATGAAGAAAGAAAGCTATAGCTGAAAAGTTACTAAAGTTGGTACAGTGACAGACTAACAATTGGCAAGGACTTTTAAGTGGAAGAATGTAAGGTCTTTATTTTACATTTGTTCAAGTTACCGTTCCTTTAAAATAAGATGCAGAAAGATCTAAAAACACCTTCACTATGCTAATGTGCATCTTAGAACAATTTCAAGCAACTACGAGCAATGATTTCTGTAACTCAAGAATGGAGAGAAATAGTAACTACTCTAAGGCCAGGTTTACACTAGACCCAGAAGGTTGTCTTATGGTAAGCAAATCCAGCAACATAAATAATGTAGCTGGAGTTGACATCCCTCCCGAGCTTGCTACCATCTTTACAGTGGAAGGCCAATGGGATCAAATGTTCCTGTTGGCTTCCCAGTTGCGAGGAGTACCAGAAGCACCATCAGTGTTAGATTTAGCAGGTCTTAATTAGACCTGCTAATCTCCGGAGTGTAAGTATAGATATGGCCGAAGGCAGTAGTAATTATAGTAGACAGTGGAGGGGAAGCTCCCATTACACCAGCCAGAGAGGGAAAGCAGTGATGAACTCTATTTACCAAAGTCAGTAAAAGCTGCTGTCCCCGCTCAGCATCATAAGAACAAGTAGACGGCGCACTGAAGAGGTTCCGTGTACTGGTCTTCCGTGCACTGGTCTTATAGCCTTCACCTCATTTCATCCTTCCCTCCTAAAAATTAGTACTTATCTTTCTGTCCATCATAACCATTTGAACCACTCATCCTCATTTTTGCTCACTCCAAAACAGCACCTACCTGATCTCAACAGTGATCCTGTTTTAACTCCCAGTGCTGATCTAGATTCCACATAAAGAAATGTCCAGCGCACACCCTCTCTCACTGCTGCAGACCAGTGCTACCTTGGCAGATGGAAAGGTGTCTCATAGAAAAGGTTAGCTGAGGAGAGGGAATATTCCTAAGTAGGGTAGGTAAAGAAAGAGTGGGACTCCCTCTGGGCAGTAGGCTTCAGCTAATCCCTCTTTCCAACAGACAGACCCAGTTTTATCTCTATTATGATGCCTCAAAGCCCTTCCAATTACCTATTGCCCAAATTGCATCCCCCAGTCTTTTAAGCATTATGGATCTGCTTCTGCAATGGCAAACCTCTCCTTGAATGGTAATAGGATAGTAGAAGGAGAAGGCCTTATTTGGCACTTCTGTTAATATAAAAATTGCAAGTGTGACACTTCTACATCCACATCTCAGTCTACAAGTATTGCTCTGCAATGTTATCCTGAACATAACAAGGCCCATGTTTGGAGAGTAATCAAAATAAAACTGTTATATTTGCAATGGGCTAGCCCAAAATCTGACTTCTGTACAGTCATCTTTCTTGGATATTATCTCTTAAATAAGCCACCTGGATTACAAAGACGACAAATAGTCTGTTTAAACAGATTATATCCAATTCAAAACATTCCCATTCCTCAAAGTTTCTCAGTATTTTTAAAGAAAAGCATGTATTTACGAAGAACTTGAAATATAGTACTAGTCTAAACTTGTGGCTATACAGGAAAGTTACATTAATAAATTACTCATCTAAATAGGTCTTATTGTAACAGAATAGAACATGTTCTTCAAATGATTTTAAGATTACTGTAGGAGTCTTAGGAGCTTAATTTCTAATATCCCTGCTGTACACGAGATTCTCCAGAAACAACTCTACAAAGTACTTTTTTTTCAAATAATTAATTCCAACAGTCCACCCTACCCTTTCATCTACAAGTGGCTTCTCCAGCTCATTTTGAATCTGAAACATAGCTGCACCTTAGTTCAAACATAACCAGCACTCTGGAACACTCCCTATTGTTTTAGTATCTTTTTGAGACAGTGACTTAACTATTATTTGTACAAATATTTCCTCATAAACTGAAGTTGTCTTTGGCTTATTGCCTACCTGTAAATTGATAGCTTCAAAACACCTATTATTGGCAGGGCATTATTTTGAAATGCTGTGCTGTTCGGAACAGTAATTTGAGGGGGGTTTTCCAATGTGGAGCTATAGTTCAAATTTATCTATTATCAGCTATAAGCCTTCAACGTCCCATGCTTCTGTTATTATTTGTGACAGTAGCACTGATGGACTCCAGTGATAGATCTGAGCCCCTGTTCCAGTCCCCCATAAACACATAAAGAGACTGTCCCAAAAGAAGAGTTTGCAACTTAAGCATTAGATGAGAAACTATGAGCAAATACCTTATGCTTCCCTCTCTACTGTAACAATGAGAAAACACAGGTCAGTGTAATAAGCAGCAGTCACAGGAAACCAACTGCCTAACCATTCTCAAGTTTTTACATACCCACAGCAGAGAATTAGAAGGACAATGAGGTGGACTTCATTAACTATTCTAAATAAATACAGTCCATCTGTGGTTGGAGGGATGAAGAGGAACATGTTATGGATGACCAACACAAGTTTATTTTCACTATGTACCATAACTGGCTGAGCAAAGTGAGGTCCTACACTAGATGGCATTTCTCTGTTGGGCATATATTGTTTGTCCTAGTTTGACATCTAATATCAATAAATGCAAAATTCATGTAAATAATTCATGAACAATAATAACAACTATTATACAACTGTTTACTGCTTCAGTGTACCAATAAAAGCAGAGATTATGTTTATCTGCCAGCATTTCATAGTCTTTTCGCTCTTAGCTCTGGCCAAATTAAGCTTCTGTTTTTAAGGGGAGTATTGAGCACTATGCTAGCATATATTTAGATTGCTCCCTTTTTACTACTCATTCATACAACGTCAAACAAATTAGTCCTTAAAATGCAGTTTGGCAAAGTGATTAACATCAGTACCTTTGTTACATTGATTCCCCATATATTTTCAATGTATGTCATGAGCCTGTCTATGTGAAATTAAGTTGACAGCAGCTGCTGCACACTAGCTATTCTGCATTGATGGCCCCAGTTGACTCTCTTACTGCATACTCAGAGTGTCTTTATGCACAGTAGCTTACTGCACTTTGGAAGTTCATTAAACTAAATTATCCACAGGTATTCAATGCACAGTAAGTGTCCACATGGGTGCCTGGTAGGCAGTAACTAGTGTGCTTTAAATTCACACCCTAGCTTAGTTTGCACTTGCTTTCCTGTATAGACAAGTCCTTAGTTTAATCATGCATCCTCAGCAAAATTGTTAGCTGACAAATGCAGTTTATCATGACTTATACTTGTGCAACCCTCTTACAGATTGTGTGGTTGTGCACAGGTAAGGGAGAGTGGAATCTGAAGACTAAGAGATGGCATGTGCATCACTGGGAATACAATAAGGCCTGTAAAATCTTTATTACAGAGGATGTGATATTACAGGGACTCAATCTAACTTTCGGCTTGCTGGGAGAAGTTATTAAAAAAATAACCTCACTTTAATTATAAACTGAGCAAGTTTGATCTGCAGTCTGTGAGAAATAGACACGGAACTACATAATGTCACTTTCACAGTCATATTTAAAATGCAATTCTCTGAAATTTTTGTGTCTTGAAGTAGTTTGTTTTCTAAGTGGAATGGCTAGGAGACCCAAATGTTTAACTGTCTACATTTAGAAAATAAACATATAAAATAAATCTCAGTAACAGTATGTGATGCCTGATAGATTTAGGAAACATTTTTCAATTTGATACTATTCAGAAAATCCCATACACACAACTCATGTAAGAATATATTATTATTATTATCCCATTATGTATCAAACCTGTACAGTAATACACAAAACTTTTTATTTAGGAATTAATACATTTTGGGCCAGAGATCAAATTATAGGGAATCTGTTTCATATACCATGTATACTCATTCATTAGTTGACTTTTTTTTGGAAATAATTCTGCTGTGAAGAGCGGGGGGTCAGTTTATGAATGGGTTCTAGAAGGCAGAGCAGCAGCAGGAAACCCAGCACAAGCTGGCTGTGGCAGCACATCAGGGTTCCCCTGCCTTCATGCCACTACAGGGATGCAGAACAGACTCCACCAGCCAGTAGAATAGAGGGAGTTTATTGCTTCTCCAGGATACAGCACAGCATAGATGTAATCCGGTTACAGGGCCAGGCCTAGGATGCCTCAGCCCCCCCTTGAGATGGGGGAGACTGGGCCCCTAAATCCCAGCCCCTTGCTTAGGCTACCTCCTCCATGATTCCAGCCAGAAACTAAAATTCTCTTCCAGCCCTGCCCACCAGCCAGGTACTGGTCTCCACCTTCCTCCCTTTGTCTCCCTCCCTGGGAGGCTGAGCCTGGGTGTTTGGGTTAATACACATTTGGGAGAGTCAGTGAGAATCTCCCATCACAGCGCAGGGGGACCCCGGGTCACAGAGCAGACAGCACCCCCACTACGCCACACTGACACACAGCAGTCCCAGCTTGTGCCGGGGCTCCTGCTGCCACTCTGCCTTTTAATGGAACCCAGCGCAACCCCCCAAACTTGCAGAGAAAAAATGGTAAAAAGTCACTGGCCTGTTTATAAGGTCCTAGACCACTGTATTCTGGAGTCAGCTTATAAACGGGCCAGTGACTTTTTACCATTTTTTCTTCTGTAAGTTTGGGGGAGGGAGGTTTGGCTTATAAACAAAGTGGCTTATGTTCAAGTATATATGGTATGTTAATGAGATGTGAAAGACCTGATATCATTAACATCTTCCCTGCAAGTGAAACTATTAAGCATCTTATATTGTATGTAACTGATTCTAATAAAGTTTATATTAATGAGAAAAAGAATGGCCTGGGGAGCAAAACACAGGACAGAGCCAGGTGATATGGGTTGTTTGCAGCTGTGCCACCAATTTGCATCATGACTTTGGACAAGTCACTTATCTGTGCCTCAGTTTCCCTATCTGTAAAATGGGACACATACTTCCCTAACTCATACAGGTGAGAAAACTTACAGGGTCAATTTATGCTCCAGTGTAGGTAGGCATGTCTCCACTGAAGACTATTAATGAGTAACACATCACAGCAAAGTCTTCCTCATATTTGTAAAGTGCATAATATTAGTATTTATCAAGAGAAAAAGATTCAACTCTAAAACTAAGCCCTTTGAAAGAGATACAAAGGAAGGTAACAAAAGAATGTCTTGCACTGAGGTTATGTATTTAACAGTTTTACATGTAATATTTATATATAAAAACTTTAAGTGCTTTTCTCCAATTTAAAAATCTAAAGAATTCAAAAATAAGGCATTCAATATTTGAAAAAGTACAGATTTACAAAATGTGTATATTCTTCATGAAAACTCCACATCAACATTATACACTTGGAAAAAAAATACAAACAGGATATATTACAAATTTATGTAGCAATAACTTAGTTCATACCATGCAATAAAAAGTACATGAATCAAGATACACAAGCTTTTAAAGTTTCTAAACTGAAGGGCTTAATTTTTTTGCAAACATGTTTGTACGCAAATCTTTAGAACTTGTGTGGCACTTAAAATTTCTGGTAGCCTTTCTACTGAGTGTTAAATTGTACACAATGATTATGAGGAGGAAGATTAACAAAGTAGTTATCTATTATGAATCATTCCAGCTTTGTTCAACAATAGCTGAAACTCTTTTCTCATATTCACGTTTGTTTTCCTGATAAAGTTGTGCTGCCTGACTGTTTGCAGGACTGTTTGGATTAGGTTCATCAAGCAGAGACTGTGAGAGGATGGGGGAAAGAAAAAAAATTAGATACTTGTTCTAGATAATTTCATTTTTAAAGAAAACCATAACCACTAGGGGGAACAAAAAGATGTTGATGCTACAACTAACTCAAGCCCTATACGCCTGGGGGAATTCTGTGCCACTACACAATTCAGAATTTCATGTTTCCCCTGAAAATTTGGGGCTGCAGATTTGCTGGATGTCAACAGGGACCACTGGACTCTGCTGAGCTCACTCACAGTGACACATCCATCTTCCTCATTCTGTGGACAGGAGTGGGCTTGGAAAACTCGGGTCTGGCAAAGGGCAAGGAAGGGCAGGGCTGCCCCACACCATGTCCCCAGGGGGAAACAGTGAAGCTGGGAAACTAAAGTGTCTGGGGATGTCCCGCAGCTGAGCTCTGGTGGATAGGGGTGCTGGTGCCTGGTTCAAAGAGTGTCCCAGGGCTGGGCCCTGAGCAGAGGGAGTGCAGATATCTGGGTTCAGGGGGCCCAACACAGTTCTCTCCTACACTCCACAACGTGAACTAGATTGTCATGGGTGTTCTTTAATTCTCCACTCCTGAGGAAATTTCTATTGTTGTGTGTGTTGACGACAAGTATTTTGAAATAAATTACCAAAATAATTGAAACTGGATTATATTGTATTCTTTTGACAAAATATGTAAATTTTTGCAAAATTTTTTAAACATTGTACACAAAGTTTAATTTTTTTTTTGGTGCAGAATTCCCCCGAAAGTAGCCCTAATATATGAAATAGTTCCCTTTTAAATTAATACAGTCCAATTAGCTGGATTCTAGAAATACTGGCTCCCTAAGAATTTCATATGCATAACAAAAACATAGGCTTCAAAATAAAATAGTTAAAATTTCTCTCACATACCCTGGCCTTCAATACACAAACATTACAGACACCAAATATCATATATGGAATAATAATGGTCAAAAAAAGAATCTAAATAAATGTCCTCCTATAAACATTCCCTGCCGGGATTATTTTTATTGCTTAGAAATATAGCGAATATATGTAGTTTATCAACTAACTAGTCTTTCAAATAAGTTTACAAGCTCTTGATTGTTTCAGTTTTTTGGAGTACAGTTCATTGGTGTGGATGCTGTCTGGCTATGTCTCTGTGTCATCAGTTTTGTGAAGAATGGTAATCATCATACATTTAGCTTGCTAAAAATTACCTGAATTGAAGTTAAAATAGATGAAACATCATATGTTGGACTCCAGCGATTCTGAAGGATGTCTAAACATATGCTACCATCAGCATAAACTGTAAACAGAACACAGGGATTATTTAAAAGTCTTGCCATCTTAAGTCTGTTGTGATTAAACACTGCATGAATGGATGCACTATTTATATTGTAATATGACAATTCAGTTTCTGTTTCACTAAACATTTTAGGAAGTGTGATAGAGAAATAAAGTGTATTTCTGAGGAAGCATCTCTGTAAGAATCAGACACTGGTTTTATATCTTGTATTTAGCAAATAAATACTTTGCTTTCACTAACATAAGAGCATTGTAAGGATAGTCCAAGTCATCTGGGCTAGAGTCTGAAACTTGGAAGCTCTGGGTTCAAATCCCACTTCCATTTGTGTCACCTTAGGTAAATCTATAATCTCTGAGACTCAAGTTTCGCATCTATAAACCTGGGATAACAATATTTCCTACCTCACAGTTATTGTGAGGCAATTATGTTAAAGGATTGTGAGGAATTCTCATACTATGGTAAAATGGCCATATGAAATACCTAAAAAAAGAGATACTGGAACTATTCATGTTTCACATTGGGGACAAAGAAATGAGGAGGCAGATTTGACTTTGGGGAGGGAATGCCTACATTACTCATGGCCCATGTGATGGAAGAACCTTCCTAATACTACATCTGCCCTGTGCTGAATCAATCTGATGTGATGCCAGTGATCTTCATTCAGCATCTGCCCGACAGGAGCACTAGTATTCTAGAGAAACAGGGATATAACTACACTCCTTTGTTGTTTATTAGAGAAGAGGAAAAGATACAATGTATCTACCCCAAGGCCAAGTTTCATATGAAGCACTAAGGATGAGGCACTAAGGATACAATCCTAATCCCAGTGAAGTTAACATTTTTTGCTACCTTTGAATTTGTGTAGGATTTTGACACACATGAATATATAATAGGAATGTCAAATCCTGTTTAATTGGTTAACCAGTTAATTGATTAAGGTGGGGGAGGCCATTTCAGCCCAGCCAGGTTGAAGCAGCCCCCCTGCTGTAGCTAGGCTGGAGCAGCTTCCCCACTGCAGGCAGGGGACACTCTGCCCTCTTTGGACAGGGGCTCTCTGGCTGGGCTGGAGCGCCCTTGTCCACAGCAGGCCCTGCAGAGCTGGTGCAGCCCCGTGCCCACAGTGGGTGGGGAGATGCTCCAGCCCCCACTGGTTAACCATTTATCACATCCCTGATACATAAAGAAAGTGTAACCTTGATGAAAGAAGAGAACAGAGAAAAAGAACTAAGAGCAAAGGAGAGAGATGTGCACAATAAAGGAAGTCACAACTCAGGTAACCAGTGACAGGGAATAGGTAAGGTCTGAATTCAGTCCCTTGCTGCTTGGGCCAGCAGTACTTCAGAAATAGTTCATTCAGTCTTTCAGAGCATAATTATATCATCATTCTAGCTGGCTGAAGAAGCAACACTGGTAAGCTTTGTCAATAAAATACAACACACCACAGTCTACTCTGCCAAACAGAAGACTCCTCCTATTCAAGACAGGTACATGCAGTGGAACAAGGAAGTAAAAAAGGATGATTCAAAAAGACCTTCTAAAAAACAAAGCAGCAGAAGGGGGAAAAAAAGGAAAACAATTAAATGTTTGACTTTATTTCTGAGTCTCTTGTCTCACTAAAGCTTCTTGCTAAAATGGAGAGTTCCCAAATACAGGCAGTCCCCGGGTTACGTACAAGATAGGGACTGTAGGTTTGTTCTTAAGTTGAATTTGTATGTAAGTCGGAACTGGTACATATTGTAGGGGAAACTCTAGCCAAACATTTCTCCAGAGCTCAGTTTTATTCTCTCACACCTCACTTCCCTCAGTCCTTTATTCTCAAGCTGAGGTGTCTGCTGAGAAAAGCCGCTCCGCGTCTTCCTGGTCTGCTGGGTGGGGCGCTAGCTTCGCGTCTCCCTGGTCTGCTAGGGGGAAAAGCAGCTAGTGCGGGGTTGTCTCACCCCGTTTGTAAGTAGGGATCTGATGTAAGTCGGATCCATGTAACCCAGGGACTGCCGGTACACACATTGGCTATAAGAAATTAAGATGCCAATAATCTTCAGAAATATTTCATTTCCTCATCAGTTAATATTTGCATTAGCTAACAAGGCTACACAATGGTTACAGAATACAGGAGTAGCTTCTAACTAACTTTCCTAGCATCAGGATTTTTATTGAACATCTGATGTACTGTATATCTGCCTTGAAAAAAATGTTAAACATTGCTGAGCTTCACAGGATATATCACATCACACTATCCTATTAAATATTTGGTTTGGCTATATAAGTATGAATACTCACCATTCGGATGAAACATTTTTGATAAAAACCTAACAGTTGGAGGCTTATTTGGATATTCTTCTGAAAATTCTATTATTAGTTTAAAAGTACCTGTCCAAAAAAGCAAAAATACAAACATCATGTAGCTATAATTGTATCAAAACATCTTTGTGCACTTGACAACCCATTATTTATATTTCAAATGCTAATAAAACTGATATGTATTCCTATGAACAAAAATAGCACCAGCATCTTTGTAAAATTTAGAAGCTTACTCAATGCATAGAAAAACAGCTATTTAAATAGAGTACAACTTCAGTTATCTAAAAATTGTAACTGACACTTAGTTCAGACCAATGGAGGATTTTCTATGTTATTACCAGATATTGGGAAAATGCCAGTAACAGGAAGTTTTGGATAACCATATGCTAGGGGTCTCAAACTTCCAGCCTGCATGCCATCTCCAGTTGGGGGAGCCGGGGACAGAGCAGCTGGGGTGCTCTGCCCCCAGATTCCCTAAGTCAGCTGCTAGTCAGTTTCAGCAGCGGGGGACTTGGGAAAGCCGGGGGCAGAGCAGCTCCAATTGTCTGGCTGGCCGAAGCACTAGTTCCAGTTGGTACCGGACTATCAGGAGTGCTGAACCCACTGGATGCCGGACAATTGGGAGTTTTACTGTATGTATTAAGGACCAGTGAATATGTTTGCCACATATCACCAATTTCCATCCACTTCCACCCACCCTCCCTTCTCACCCCCCATAAAAAAAACAACTCAGTAAGTCATTTTCTGACTTGCATAAAAACTAGAGAGCTCTCTTCTTAATCACCATTCCTGGCAGTTCATTGCAATGAGTTTCTGACAAAGAATTCTTTAACTAACATATACCCTTTTTTACACATACAGTAGATATTACACTTACGCAGCACTTTCATGTTCGTTTACAATTTGATTTTTTTCATTAAAACTGTTTTATAAAGAGATCAAGATTATTTCCTCCTGCTCTTAATGAAAAGAATGCAAATGTGAATCAGAATCATGTGCTAAAGACAAAGCCATATGTAGCCAGAGAGTGTGTGAAAATCTTTGTGGTTAGGCATAAGATATATGAAACTGTCTAATAGTTTAGCCTCAACATTCCCCTCTCCATGTATATAAACAGTTCTAGATATGGCCATTGCTTCACAGGTTTACAGTTAACCACCAACCACTACAGAGGTTAGACAATGCATTGGCAGGAGTTTTGATCAAAATACTAAAGTCTCTGTTAGACAGCAAGCCCTTACCAACTCACGTTGTTTATTAGCTTGCTTTTTCTAATTCAGAAATAAGTTCTGTGTGCATTATAAAAAAAAAAACCCAACACACAGCATTATATATAGGAAATATGAAAATCCTTCTTGAAAGCCATTTTGGAACCATTTATGAAAGAGGAAGGGGATAAAAAATAGTTACCTACCATCCTCAAAAGGGGTACCTTCTGGCCTAGAAATAAAAAATTTAAATATATTATCTACTTCTATACAGGCACCCATACCCACCCACCCACACCCTTTTCAAATTAGAAACAGAGATAAAATTTAAAGAGTAAATAATTGAGATGTAACTCCTTGATCTTTCCGAGGTTACTCTCCTAGTGAACTAGAAACCTAGTTTTTAATCCAGAAATTGGGGATTTCTCACAATGATCTAAGACAATACATGTATTTCAAAAAATAAGGATGACCAGAATCAATGGGGATATTCAGATTCCACTAAAACTGCAATAAGGTTACTAGCAAAGTACTAGAATTCATGATAAAAGAAAGACTGAATTAGTTTCCAATCTAGGGGATATGTAATATAGCTAGACAAGCTCTGCTCATAGAAGTGTGTTGGAAACCGGTCTGGTCAATACTAACACATCTAGATTTGTCTGCTTGGAACATGGAATGTGTATGTGCTTCTGAGAGGGAATCCTGCATTTTCTTATTTTCCTGCCCTATCTTCAACATAACAATCACCTTACTTTCTCTATGAATTGATATAAAATTTTAAAAAGACAAAAAAAGTACATTACAAGGCTACATCAGAACAAAAATGTAGCTGTTTTGTTTGCATGCTCTATTGCAATGGTTCCCAACCTTTTTAATACCGTGGACTGGCAAACCCATTCACAAACTTTTGGCGGACAAGTAACATCATATGCAAATTAAATATTACCGGTCTGCCAAAAACCCCAGCCCCCACAGTCACCGCAAACAGCCATGAGGTAGGTGGCTACAGCAACTGAAGCTGGTTGTTTGCAGAGACTCTGGGGGCTGGGGTGTTCCCCATCCCCCTAAAGCCCCCAGTGCCAGCCCTAACCCCTAGACACCCCAAGCACCAGCCACTGACTCCAGAGTCCCCTGCACCTAACTCCCCAGTGCCAGCCCCCATCTCAAATGCCTCAGTGCCAGCCTCCGCCCCTTAAAGCCCCCCGACCAGATCCCCTCCGTGTCAGCTTCCTGTTTCCAGAACCCCCCTGCACCCAACTCCCCCAGATTTCCCCCCAGTGCCAACCCCCATCCTCAAAATTAACCCCCTACCCAGAGCCCCCCAGTGCCACCTCCCCACCCCACATGCCCTAATACGCCCCAGTGTCAGCCCCCTGCCTCTTAGAACTCCCCACCCCATAGAGCTTCCCAATATTAGTTTTGTCCCCAGAGCCCACCAGTGCCAGCCCCCCACCTCCAGAGCCCCCCCAGCACTAGCCCTGCTCCCTACAGTCCCCAGTGTCTGCCCTGCCCATCTTACCAAGCCCTGCACTGCCTCCAAGCCACCAGCTGAGGGCTGCTGCCCAGGTCACAGCTGCTCTAAGGCAGCAGCACAGCAAACTACTCTTCTGCTCGGCACTGGTTGGCTGAGTGGTAGAGAAGGACACACCTCTTCCAACACCCGCAGCAGAAGGAGAAGCACTGTGAACCTCAGCCCCGGCCCCCCAAAGCTGCTGCAGCCTGGCATCCAGCAGTTTTGCAGCCCGGCACCGGCCCACGGACCAGCAGTTGGGAACCACTGCTCTACCGTGCCTCAGTATTCAAGGCTAGACCCATACAAACCTATTTCCCCATAAAAACATACTTCTGACAGTTTGTCTCAGACTCAGGATTTTGACTTAGTACATATGCCTAGTCTCAAGCATTTCCACAGAATAGGAATGTTAAGAAGCGGGAAATCTGCTAAACGTGTGTAGTCAATAGAATTTTTATTGACTAGTCCAGTGTTTCGCAACCAGTGGTATGAGTACCTTAGGGGTACTTGAGAGAAGTCTGGGGGGGTATATCAACACGACTGAAATTTGGAGAAAACTGAATTTTTGTTTTAAGTTTTACAGTGCTTTATTATTTTTGTTCTTTTCACACTCAAAAATTTAATCACCTGCCTGGCTACGATTAAGTTGTTTAAATAAATGTGTTGCAAAGGTAGAAAAAAATTGTGTGTGTCTGAAAACTTTAGTTACTGGGGGGACTTACAATTTTTTTTTTAAAGGGGGACTTTATAAAAAAAAACGTTGAGAAACACTGGACTAGTCGATAAGGGATGGCAGCCTGGCTCAGTCCCAGCTCATGCCAGATCCAGGACCAACTCCCGCTGCGGCTCTGCATTTAAAAGGTAGTAGAAACAGGCAGCCCAGCTCCTACCACCATTTAAATTCAGAGCTGCAGCGGGGTTTGGTCCCCCGCTGGGGCTCTGTATTTAAATGTGTCTAGTTGATAGCATTAAATGATACACGCTTTTGCTTATCGGTTAATCGAGTACACTATTACATCTCTACCACAAAATCAGCCATTTTTTAACTTATATTTAGCCCTTTAGTATCATCTCTACAATGAGCAAAAATCCTCTTACCCAAATATAACTGCATTCCATTGCATAATGTTATTCTCAGAGGGTGCACCACTGACACCCACAGGAGGGTCTTCTTGCAATCTAACAATTAAAAAAATTAGACTATTAAAAGATATACATGTTACATTTATAAATATATACACACACGCAGGCAATACAGGAAAATACTCAAACAGAAAGGAGTTAAGCATCCGGAGTTTGTACCCATTTTCTCCTTCAGGACAAGAGAATCCAGGCTGTGCTTTGGAACACAGACTACATACTTCAGTGTTATATGTACGTTAAATATTCCAGAGACAGAAGCCTACCAAGATCAGGATTTTCTCTTCTATATAATGAAACAAATCCACACGAAATAAATAAGTGAAGTATGTGCGTCCTCATTCATAGAGCACAGCATCAAATACAAGAGTAGTTATAAAACGTCTTGTACATCTGGGTTTACAGTCTCACATAGCAAATGATGAAATGAACATTCAGAACAACACTTGCTGGCTACAGCAGTGAACATTATGTATAATCACAAATTGATACATCTAAGCTGTATCTATCTATTGTGGAAACCAATCAGTTGTATTTGTGTGAAAAAAATATTGGTACCTAGTAGAAGAAGAGACACATGTTTTTTTTATGTTTCTGATACTATTGAACAAATTGAGTCAGACCACATACTCCTATTTTGGCTAGTAACCTGTTCTCTGAGAAAGTTCAGTTCAGACAGCTAGTCTACCCTACAGCATGGGCTACCTACCACTTTGGCCAGGAAAAAGAGTAATATGACTTCTTCCTACCTGATTGCCAGACTGCATGCCAAGACCTAAGCCTCAAGCTCCATAAGTGTACTTCAGAGATAGCTTTGGCATTTAAATCAAAATTTCACACACGGAAGGTTTTTTAACTACAGAGAATGTGTGGCCTGAACTGGAAGCTTCACTTGCTTGAACAGAGTCCAGAAATATTTAAGAGCTAGGAACAATATGGTATTTATAGCATTCACATACCTTTTCTATATGCAAAACTAAATGCTCTAATTACATTCGTTTTTCTCTGTAGTTTTATGCAAATGAACCAAAGGGAGGAAAAAAAACAGTATTCAGGTATGGAATCTGTCAAATTTCTCTCTCATCACCACTTTCCTGGTCACTGTACAAACGTTATATTCACACAGTAATCAGAGTTAATAGCCAGACAGGGAAGTTGAATGGTCCTGACTGCTATGTCTGCCTAAAGTAGGGGTGGGAAACCTCAGACCTGGGCTTTCTTGGATCCAGCCCCCCGAGAATCAGGGCTTCCCCCGCAGCATTGGGGAACCTGCACTGGTGCTCCAGCCCCTCTAATGCTGCACTGCAGGGGCTTGAGAATATAAAATCTACTAGCTTGGGTCCCTTGTGCAAGGGGATTGTCTTTCTCCTTCTCAGTCAGAATTGATTTTTCTGTGGGTCAGTGGCTCTGACCCAAAGAAAGTTCACCACCTTTGACCAATGTTCCCTCTAATACTTTCCACCCATGAGCAGAGTGAGTTTTGTTTTATGCACCAGTATTGATTTTATGTGCATGTGTTCAGCTGTATGCCATTGTGGCACCCAAGTTATTAATAAATATCTTATAAACCTCTCCTTTTTCACCTCTGCTGCCATATCTTCCATCCTCCCCTCGCCCCATCTGCTCCTCTGCTGCTGCCCTCCACCCCTCACCCTGCTCTGCTGTTCTGGCTCCAGCCTTTCTCACTCCCCTCAGCCCTTTGGAGTCCTGCTCCCCTCCTCATCCTCCTTGAGCCCTGCACACACCCTTCTCTTCCCCCATGCCCACTCCTACTCTAGCACTTACACATGACTTGCTCCATCTCCTGCCTTTCTCATGCCCAGCCCTCCTTTTAACCCCTCTTTTCCTGGCACCCACTCCTCCCCTCCCTCTTGGCCCCATTGTCCTTCCCCTTTCCTCTCCCAACATCACTCTGTTCCCTCCCTTCTCACACCTCCACTGAAACCTTCCCTCCCCTCCACCTGCCTGCCCTTTTCCTCATTGTCTCCTCTTGGCCCCCTGGCATTTGTGTCTCCTCCACCCTGCCCCTTGGTATCTGACCCTTCTTCTCCTGTTCTGCCCCCTCCACTTCCCTCAGCACAAGCTCCTTCCTCTTCTCACCCACCTTCCCCTTAGTTCTCCTCCTGTCCCCTTCCCTCACCTGCTGCCTTCGACGTGGAAAGCAGTTTGCAGGGGCTGGAGCTGGGGCCGCAGTGCTATTTTTAGCACGGTCCTGGCCCCAGAAGCTCCCACAGCCCCAGACCCAGCTGCTCCCGGGGCAGGATCACGTGCTGGGACTGGAGCAGAGGCCACCCATGGTGCTATTTTTATTACCGCAGTCCTGTTCCCCATTGTACTTCACCGCAGGCAACCCTGGCTCCAAACAGAGTAAAGCAGCAGCTGCACAAGGCCCGTTCCAGCTGGAGCAACCTCACTGGAAAAGCCTCACCTCACGCTCCTTAGCTCCAGGCTAAGCAAAAGGGCAGCTGCCCGCCACCAGGAACTCACCAGCTGCTGCCACCACCACCACCACTCACTTTCCTTCTAGCAGGAAGGTAAGCAGTGAGTGCTGCTGCAGGGCTCTTAAAATGATGTGGGTGGACCTAAAATTTGTAGTGTGCAGCCACACAGGTGCGCACCTTAGAGGTAACACTGCCCTCGGCCTAAAGAAACAGAAAAATGACCTCCGCCTGGTTGTATTTTAAAAATGTGTGATCTCAGTTTGCAAGCAAACTATGAGTAGATTGTAAGTCTGATAGACTCCATTCCATGTTTCATGATATTTATTTAGATACTTTCCCTTCAAAATTTAAAATCTCCCTTTTACCTCTAATTTCAATAAGAAAATAATTATTTCCAGCTATTCCTTTTCATTGGTGTCATAATTACTTTAATTTTTACCCTCTATACAAACCACTACAGGTTAAACCTCCTAAACTCTCTGGCCTGGCAACATGGGGAGTGAGAGCTGGCCGGGAGTCCAGTGGGGAGGAGTCCCACCAGCGGGGCCAGCAGCAGGCAGGGGCCCCATTGCTGGGGAGCCCCATCTGGGCAGGGCAGGAGGGGGAACTGGTGAGCTCTAGCCCTGGGTAGTCCTGAATAGGCGAGGCAGCGGTGAGGCTAGCAAGCTCTGTCCCCAGGGAGCCCTAGCAGGGCACAGCTGCAACAGAGCCAACACGCCCCATCACCGGGGAGCCCCAGCCATGCAGGGCAGAAGCGGGACAATGACAGCTGGGGAGCTACACCCCCAGGGAATCCCAGCCAGTCCACTGCACCTCAGCCCGGTAGCAGCGGGACTGCAGCTCAGTACCATGGGGCTGGAGCAGAGCCAGCCACAGGGAGGTGCAGCAGACTGGGAGGCTGATGGCTGGGGACCCCCCCTCATCGAGCAAATTCCCTCATTTGGAATAGGTCAGGTCCAAAGGGTGCCGAACAGGGAGACCCAACCTGTATAAGCAAAAAGATGTAATAGCCTATTTATGTTTAATGGGAAATAATGCAATGCCTGCATGCAACAGGTAAGGTAAGTAGCATCTAGGCATCAACTCAATGGTTCCTAGTTTTGTAAGTTCAAATCAGGATTTTAATATTGTTTTAGAAAGTTGTGTGTAAAGCTACATATGCATCATACACATATGACAACTGCTTACAGATGTAATTTTGCAGTACCTGCACATAGAGCTATCCCTAAAAAGAAACACTATCAAAGTTAAATTATTGGAAATAAGTCATCAGCTACGTTAATTCATATCATGTTGAAACAAAGCATACAATTTAAAGCCTATAACAATTAGCTTTTAATTTTTTTCTACATGCACAACAGATGTAGTATATAACATGTAATTAAATGACAAACTGGAACAGTTGCTAAAAGAGTCTCTCTAGCTCAGCATGTACCATTTTTAAACAGTCTCAGAGGCTATGTCTACACAGCTTCCCTCTTCTGCAAAAGCCTATATTGAAGCACATATTAGCATACTGCAAATGAAGCACATAGCCATGCTTCATTTGCATAATTAGGAGCCCTTTTTGCACAAAAGGGTTTTGTGCAAAAAGGCGCCATCTACACAGCGCCTTTTTGCGCAAAACCCCTCTCTTGAGCAAGAGCCGTTCTTCCTGAAAAAATGAGGAAAAACGGCTCTTGCACAAGAGGGGGGTTTTTGCACAAAAAGGCGCTGTGTAGATGGTGCTTTTTGTGCAAAAACAGCTCCTAATTAATTATGCAAATGAAGTGAGACAGTATGCTAATCTGCGCTTCATTTGCCCAGGCTTTTGTGGAAGAGGGAAGCTGTGTAGACAGCGCCAGAGGGGTAGCCATGTTTGTCTGTAACTTTAAAAACAACAAGTGGTCCTGTGGCACCTTCTATTTCCATTTGTATATTAGCAAAAACATAGTTATATTCTGTTTAAAAATGATGAGTAGTCCTGTGGCACCTCAGAGACTAACAAAAATATATATAGTATCATGAGCTTTCGTGGGAAAAACATACTTCATCAGGTGATGAACAGAGGAGCTGATGAAGTGGGTTTTGCCTATGAAAGCTCATGATACTATTTATACTTTGTTAGTCTCTAAGGTGCCACAGGGCTACTCATAATTTTTAAACAGAATATAACTATGTTTTTGCTAATATATAGCAAAAGGTCCTTGTTTACACAACATTTTAAACAATGCGAGACAGAAGTTATCAACCAGAATAGTATGTACAAGAGTCCAGAAGTGTTTATCAGTTCAGTGTGCATAATTAGGTGCCCAGACTGAGACAAGCTTTCATTCAGAAGGGCCAAGAATCTGACACTTCTATTCACTTCAGCTGGAGTTGTGGCTCTTCAGCAGTGGGAGGATAGCGGCAGGAAGGGTAGAAGACCACCAAAAAACTATCTCAAGGCAGGTTCCCAAAAACTGAGGACTGTCCCACCCATGAGGGAACTCATCTCTGAAAAATTTAGCTTTACTCACTAAGCATTTCACTTCCAGGCCCACAAAAAAGTTACTAAAACCAACAAGAGAGAATGTTGATGCCGGATCTCCAGAGATGTTTTTTAAAAAAACCAAGATATTTGAATAATGAGAGTACAGATGGGCATTTGAAACCTGCATAAATATTTACAGGCTCAATATTCTCTCCTCTGTCAAGTTCCAGCCTGAAGCAAAGTTTGACATCATAGAGCTAATTCCCTTATATTAGAGAGTTACTGCATCATGGAATCTCTGATATAATTATAATGTACTACTTTAAATGTTATAAATAAACGCTTGGTCTATAAACAGTGGCTTTTAGGAATGATACAGGCTGTCTAACAGACCACATGCAATATAATGAAAGGCTCTTTGGACATTTCTCATGTTGACAGACAAAGGAGAGTGGCTATTGCTTTAAAGACATAAGGCATCCTGAAGACAGGAATGAGCAGAGAACTTTAGAGGAAGTAACTCTAAATAAAAACAAAAACAGACTCCTTTCTACAGAAGCAGAGGTTTAACCAATATCTTTAGTGGGATAGGAGATGTTAACTTTCTTATTGATGTGCATGTGTAGGAACAGCATTTACCATATAGACCCAAGTCCTTTCAGCATCTCCGTCCCAAGGAATTCAGGGGTAAAAGGCTGCTTATCCTGTAGTCCCAACTCCAGTAACAGACCTTTGACAAACCAGCATTTTCCTTTACCAGCATAAAGTGAGGTTTTTGCATTCTAGATCGTGTCTGCTCTCAAGGAAAGTGAAGTTTGTTTCTGTGTTATTAACTCTCTCAAAGAACAGTCCAGCATAGGGGAGGAGAAACAGGACAAAGATAAAGCAGATTAAATCCTGTACCTGGAGAAGCCCTAGACTGAAGTACATACTTGATGTAGTGGGGGGAATTAAGGGATTCAATGTAGTCCAGTGAATAGGGCTCTAAACTGGAAGTCAGCATATTGGATTCTATTTCTAGCTCTGTTATTGACTTTGGGCAACTTGCTTCACCTCTGCAGACTCCATTTCCCCATGTAAAACACAAGGCAGCCATATGGACCTGTCCTTTGAGGAGAGTGCTGTTCAAGAGCCAAGTGTTACTACTGGCCTCCAGACCAGGTCAGGCTGGTCTTGAAGCAGATACCCAGGATTCATGATGGATCTGCCTACACCCTGCACGGATCGCAGGCTTGGACAGGGCACTTCCTGGGTGCCAGCCTCAAGTGGGTTTGGGACAGCTCCTTAGGCGTTACTCTCCCAGCTCACGGGGCCAACCTCAGCTCAGCAGCGGGCGGAAACAAAACAGGGAACCCCCTTGCATCTCCATCCCCACGCCAGGGAGAGGAGCTGCTCCCACTCCTCAGCCAGCCAACACACAGGGGGGGCTCCTGGTAGTATGGGGGGTGCACCGACCCCCTGTCTCCCCGCTATTTTAATTGCTGAGAGGTGGCCCCCCCGCACTGCCTCCCTTGGGATGCAGACCGAAGGGGCTCCTACCCCTCTCCCCACACAAAGCAGCTCCAGGAGCTGGGAGCTCAGCCCCGCAGGGCGGCTCCTGCCTGGGCCCTGCTCCGCGCAAGGCATAGCGGGGCGCCAGCGAGACCCACGGGGGGGAGCTTGGTGCCCCCTCGGGGAGGGGGGGGGCGATCCCAGCGCGCAGCCTCCCAGGCGAGACGCTCACCTCTTGAAATCCCTCATGAGCCTCCGCCTGGCCGGAGTGGACATGATCCTCTCTGGGAAAAGAGTCCCTGCCCCCACGGAGCCTCGGCACCGCTCACCGCGCCGCGGTCTCCCTCCCCAGCCCGCAGCGGCTACACAAACAACCCTGCAATGGCGTCTCCCTCCGCCGGGGGGAGGGAAAGTCACAGGCTCCTCCGCGACCGTACCACTCGCTCTGCCGAGGGAGGGCGGAGAGAGAGGAACGCACCACTACCGGGAGGGGGAGGGAGCTTCCACCCCTCCAACGTGCCGCTGGGGGGCGTCAAGGTGCAGACGGTCGAGCCGCAGAACGCGCAGCGGCCCCGCATGGCGTGGGGGGAGCTGCTGCGCTGTCCGCGAATCGCGTCCCCGGACCTGCCCGGCTTGCAGGGAGCAGCCCTGGAGGCAGGAGAACGCTCCGAAGGCGCCACTCAGACCCTGCCTGACAGGTTCCCCGGGCTTTAGGAACATGAAGAAATAGCTCACACCCATGTAGGTGCCGCTGGAGCTGGGGGTGTTGCCCATCACCTGGCTTGAAGAGGCTTCCATCACAGAGGGGGTTTGCGTCCCCGGACCTGCCCGGCTTGCAGGGAGCAGCCCTGGAGGCAGGAGAACGCTCCGAAGGCGCCACTCAGACCCTGCCTGACAGGTTCCCCGGGCTTTAGGAACATGAAGAAATAGCTCACACCCATGTAGGTGCCGCTGGAGCTGGGGGTGTTGCCCATCACCTGGCTTGAAGAGGCTTCCATCACAGAGGGGGTTTACAGTTTAATGAGGGGGGGAGCCGAAGGGGGCTGGGGGAGTATCACAGAAAAGGCGAGAGGATGAGCATGCAGCCAAATAGCTAATTGAGGAGGGAGGCAAAGAAGTGGGGAGTAAAGGAAAATGCAACTTCTGCAAAGTAAAAGTGTCATCTTGCCTCTGTTCCAGCCTCACTCTCCCCTCCCCCCCCCCATCACCCATGTCCCTCTGTGCAACCCCGCCCTGTGATGGGATTTGCAGCCTCCTGGGAGTAGCACTGGGGCAGAGTCTCTTCCCTGCCCGGATCAGCCCTTTGCCTGCTGGTAGTGGTTCTGGGGTTGGGGCAGGCAGAGCCCAAGGCTGGCTCCATGCAGCAGGGCACTGGGGAAGGGGCTCCTCAACCCCGCACACAGCCCGCAGGGAACAGCGTGGCATAGCCCATTCTCTACCATGCCACATGTGCCACCCGCCCAGCCCTCGCTCTGCAGAGCAGGCCCAGCTCTGCCCCCTCCTGGAGCAGGAGACAAGAGCTGGGGATGCACGCCTCTTCCCATCCCCCTCACCGGCAAGTTAACAAAGAGGGGCAGCCACCTGGGCGGCTTCCCCTCTTTGCTCCAGCCAGGGCTGGATCAAAGAGAGGCAGTTGCCCATCGACTCCTAGGGGCGCTGCGATCAACTGGTCGATCACGATCGACTGGTTGGTGATCACCATCCTAGGCACATGAGCAGTCTTGACAAATTCCCACCTATCCTACTCTCAACAGCCAGGTGTGGGGCTGGGCATGAAAACTTCATAGATCAGTAGGGTGGGGAAAGTGGGCAGCAGCTTCCCCCGGCCCTTCCCTGCCTTTCATGCTTTGTACCTGGATTGAATTAAAGCAGAGAAAGACAATTTCATTCCAAAATAAAAAAATCCAAACATGGAGCTTTTTGAAAATAGCTACTCTGCTTTAAATTCACACTTATTCCAAAATTACTTTCATGTGTAAACCAGACCTAGTCGGGGATATTATACTCAGGACATAGTTAATGCTGCTTCCAGCACAGTTCCCCAAGAAGCTCATATTGTTGAAGCCGTGCTTATGCTACAGGGACTATACTGGTATAGCTATATTGCCACAACATAACCCAGTACTAAAAACTCAACCTACACTGATAGAGGGGTTTTCTCATCTGTATAGAAACAGTAACTCCCTGAGTGACATATGTTAGGGCAATGGAAGCATTCTTTCAATGACAAAGATGTGTCCACACTAAGGGTTAGGTTGGCATCTCAGAAGTATGGATTTTTCAAGTCCTAAGTTAGGGATGGGCAACCGAGGCTAATAAGTGGGCTGCATGAGTGGCCCTCCTTCATCTCAATGGGCCACAGGATTGTTGTAACAAAGACAGTCTCTTTGGAGTGGGTAGTTTTGGTAACTGCACTTGCGTACCTAGAATTTCCAGGGTGTGCCAAATGAACTGTAGCAGCCATTTGATGAGCTGCAAAGAGAGCGCAGGGCTCTCACACATCACTTTAGTACATACATCACTTCATGTGCCCTTGCTTTAAGCTTAAAAAACAAGATGGACAAAACCCAGCAGAATCTGGCAAGCTTGTGTGTGGGCAACAGTAAACAAAATGTCTTGTAGGTCCACACAGAGCCTCAATGGGCTGTATGCAGCCCTCGAGCTGCAGGTTGCCCACTACTGCCAATGTGGCTACATCAATATAAATTTTAAATGTAGACCATGCTCAAGTCTTAAATTGCCATACCGTAATTACCATTAAGCCTCTTCCCCCGCTGCATCATGAAGGGGTTTCTGGGGTGCCCAAAGGCTGTGGGGTAATGGGATGTGCAATTTAATTGTTTCTCCCCCTTTCTTTACAATAGTGCCAATCCTAAGCATTCAAATAAACTCTGGTCATCTGAAGAAGTGGGCTGTGCCCACAAAAGCTCATGATACCATCTACATGTTTTGTTAGTCTATAAAGTGCTACCAGACCATCTGTTGTTTTTTAAGTTTATCCTGTACAGACTAACTCAGCTATCCCCTGAAGCATTCAAATATTGTGACCCAAGGCTCCAAAAACTCACAATAGCCTTATAAATAATTACATTTAAAAATAATATATTTTGGGTAATACAGTTTTGATATAAATTTGTTTTGGGGAGTATTTTTGTTTCTTTTTTTGACAAAACAAAAATTCACAGTGTCTGTTTCCAATGGAAATTTTCTAGGTGTCATATGAGAACATTTCAGTTTTTAGGTTTTTGATACAAAGTCAAAATTTTCAACAGAAAAAAATCTCAATTTTCTGACCACTTCTAATTGTAGGGTTTTGTTTGTTTGTTTATCTAGTGTTTAAGCCTTTGACGTATACTTGAATTACATTTCAAAACTTCGCCTGCAAACATGAGGACTAGAAACTTAAAAAAGAAATTATAGCTGAGTTTCTCATGTAATGATATGACTCCAAAATAGGGCTTAAAGAAAAATTCAAAAAATCAAGAAGCAAATGGTCTGGCAGCACTTTATAGACTAACAAAACATGTAGATGGTAAAGTGCTACCAGACCATTTGCTTGCTGATTTTTTTTGTAACAGACTAACTTGGCTACCCCCTGAAGCTCCAAAAATCAAGAGAGGTGTGATAAAACTGTAAGGCTACGTCTACAATGCAGGCTTCTGCAATGTCTCTGGGGAGGACAGGATCAGCGTCTCAGGGTGCATCTACACAGCAGCGTTATTTCAGAATAACGACCGTTATTCCAAAATAACAATGCAAGCGTCTACACAGCAATTCCATTATTTCGAAATAAATCTGAAATAACGGACAGCTTATTCCGACTTCTGTAAACCTTATTGCATGAGGAATAACGCCTATTCCAAAATAGCTATTTTGAAATAGCAGTAGTGTGGATAGTCCACTGCTGCTATTTCAAAATAGCTCCTCTGCAGGGCCATTCAAAGTAATTACTCCTCAGTCCATCCTGGGGCTCTAAATGGAGGTAGCAAGTCTACATTAGGGAAGCCTGCCTCAGACTAATTTTGAGGATTCCCTATAGCAGTGGTCTCCAACCTTTTTACACCCAAGATCACTTTTTAAATGACAGAACAAGCCAAGATCTACCACCCCGCCCCTTCCTTGAAGCCATACCCTCTCTATTCTCCTCCTCTCCATCACTTGCTATCCCTAACCCTTATACTGCTGCTTTTTTCCCCAATTCTTCTGTAGGAAGAGGTTTTTCCAACATTTGGCCTGTCTAGACTGGACCAAATGTCAGAAAAACCCCTT